TGCCGAGCCCCCTGCCCCACAGCACTCCCTGCTGTGCCCCCTGCCCCACAGCACAGCACCCTGCTGAGCCCTCCGCCCCACAGCACTCCTTACCATCCTCTGCCCCACAGCACAGCACCCTACTGAGCCCCCCGCCCCACAGCACTCCCTACCATGCCCCCTGCCCCACAGGACCGCACCCTGCCCCCCCCCAGCACAGCACCCTGCCGAGCCCCCTGCCCCACAGCACTCCCTACTGTGCCCCCTGCCCCACAGCACAGCACCCTGCTGAGCCCCCCGCCCCACAGCATTCCCTACCGCGCTCCCTGCCCCACAGCACAGCACCCTACTGTGCCTCCCGCCCCACAGCACTCCCTACCGTGCCCTCTGCCCCACAGGACAGCACCCTGCTGTGCCCTCTGCCCCACAGGACAGCACCCTGCTGTGCCTCCTGCCCCACAGCACTCCCTACCATCCCCTGCCCCACAGCACTCTGCAGAGCCCCTGCCCCACAGCACAGCACCCTACTGTGCCTCCCGCCCCACAGCACTCCCTACTGCTCCCCTACCCCACAGCACAGCACCCTGCTGAGCCCCCTGCCCCACAGCACTCCCTACTGCTCCCCTACCCCACAGCACAGCACCCTGCTGAGCCCCCTGCCCCACAGCACTCCCTACTGCTCCCCTACCCCACAGCACAGCACCCTGCTGAGCCCCCTGCCCCACAGCACTCCCTACTGCTCCCCTACCCCACAGCACAGCACCCTGCTGAGCCCCCTGCCCCACAGCACTCCCTACTGCTCCCCTACCCCACAGCACAGCACCCTGCTGAGCCCCCTGCCCCACAGCACTCCCTACTGCTCCCCTACCCCACAGCACAGCACCCTGCTGAGCCCCCTGCCCCACAGCACTCCCTACTGCTCCCCTACCCCACAGCACAGCACCCTGCTGAGCCCCCTGCCCCACAGCACTCCCTACTGCTCCCCTACCCCACAGCACAGCACCCTGCTGAGCCCCCTGCCCCACAGCACTCCCTACTGCTCCCCTACCCCACAGCACAGCACCCTGCTGAGCCCCCTGCCCCACAGCACTCCCTACTGCTCCCCTACCCCACAGCACAGCACCCTGCTGAGCCCCCTGCCCCACAGCACTCCCTACTGCTCCCCTACCCCACAGCACAGCACCCTGCTGAGCCCCCTGCCCCACAGCACTCCCTACTGCTCCCCTACCCCACAGCACAGCACCCTGCTGAGCCCCCTGCCCCACAGCACTCCCTACTGCTCCCCTACCCCACAGCACAGCACCCTGCTGAGCCCCCTGCCCCACAGCACTCCCTACTGCTCCCCTACCCCACAGCACAGCACCCTGCTGAGCCCCCTGCCCCACAGCACTCCCTACTGCTCCCCTACCCCACAGCACAGCACCCTGCTGAGCCCCCTGCCCCACAGCACTCCCTACTGCTCCCCTACCCCACAGCACAGCACCCTGCTGAGCCCCCTGCCCCACAGCACTCCCTACTGCTCCCCTACCCCACAGCACAGCACCCTGCTGAGCCCCCTGCCCCACAGCACTCCCTACTGCTCCCCTACCCCACAGCACAGCACCCTGCTGAGCCCCCTGCCCCACAGCACTCCCTACTGCTCCCCTACCCCACAGCACAGCACCCTGCTGAGCCCCCTGCCCCACAGCACTCCCTACTGCTCCCCTACCCCACAGCACAGCACCCTGCTGAGCCCCCTGCCCCACAGCACTCCCTACTGCTCCCCTACCCCACAGCACAGCACCCTGCTGAGCCCCCTGCCCCACAGCACTCCCTACTGCTCCCCTACCCCACAGCACAGCACCCTGCTGAGCCCCCTGCCCCACAGCACTCCCTACTGCTCCCCTACCCCACAGCACAGCACCCTGCTGAGCCCCCTGCCCCACAGCACTCCCTACTGCTCCCCTACCCCACAGCACAGCACCCTGCTGAGCCCCCTGCCCCACAGCACTCCCTACTGCTCCCCTACCCCACAGCACAGCACCCTGCTGAGCCCCCTGCCCCACAGCACTCCCTACTGCTCCCCTACCCCACAGCACAGCACCCTGCTGAGCCCCCTGCCCCACAGCACTCCCTACTGCTCCCCTACCCCACAGCACAGCACCCTGCTGAGCCCCCTGCCCCACAGCACTCCCTACTGCTCCCCTACCCCACAGCACAGCACCCTGCTGAGCCCCCTGCCCCACAGCACTCCCTACTGCTCCCCTACCCCACAGCACAGCACCCTGCTGAGCCCCCTGCCCCACAGCACTCCCTACTGCTCCCCTACCCCACAGCACAGCACCCTGCTGAGCCCCCTGCCCCACAGCACTCCCTACTGCTCCCCTACCCCACAGCACAGCACCCTGCTGAGCCCCCTGCCCCACAGCACTCCCTACTGCTCCCCTACCCCACAGCACAGCACCCTGCTGAGCCCCCTGCCCCACAGCACTCCCTACTGCTCCCCTACCCCACAGCACAGCACCCTGCTGAGCCCCCTGCCCCACAGCACTCCCTACTGCTCCCCTACCCCACAGCACAGCACCCTGCTGAGCCCCCTGCCCCACAGCACTCCCTACTGCTCCCCTACCCCACAGCACAGCACCCTGCTGAGCCCCCTGCCCCACAGCACTCCCTACTGCTCCCCTACCCCACAGCACAGCACCCTGCTGAGCCCCCTGCCCCACAGCACTCCCTACTGCTCCCCTACCCCACAGCACAGCACCCTGCTGAGCCCCCTGCCCCACAGCACTCCCTACTGCTCCCCTACCCCACAGCACAGCACCCTGCTGAGCCCCCTGCCCCACAGCACTCCCTACTGCTCCCCTACCCCACAGCACAGCACCCTGCTGAGCCCCCTGCCCCACAGCACTCCCTACTGCTCCCCTACCCCACAGCACAGCACCCTGCTGAGCCCCCTGCCCCACAGCACTCCCTACTGCTCCCCTACCCCACAGCACAGCACCCTGCTGAGCCCCCTGCCCCACAGCACTCCCTACCATGCCCTCTGCCCCACAGGACAGCACCCTGCTGTGCCCTCTGCCCCACAGGACAGCACCCTGCTGTGCCTCCTGCCCCACAGCACTCCCTACCATCCCCTGCCCCACAGCACTCTGCCTTGCCCCTGCCCCACAGCACAGCGCCCGCTACAGAGCCCCACCCCCC